CATGTAATCCTCCCCTGTGGGGGACAATTATCCCTCTTGCACAAAAAAGGAAACTGACACCCGGGCTATCTGAAAGACTTGCCTAAGGGCCCTGTGCCCTGAGGGTGGCGCTGGGACTTTGCTTTTCTCACTACCAAAGCTGCGTCTCCAAAAGAGATGCTTAATGCTTAATGTTTACCGACATTCATTAATTAATGTCTAATTTGCTGAGGGCAAATTATTTCCATGGAAGAAGCCCCAGGCAGGACATACATATTACATGGACAAGGGGGCCGGAGAGGGCCTCCTCAAGGAGTCACTACCGAATTCTTTCCCCACTGCTAGCAGAACAAGCTCCTTTCCCACATCTCACACACAGAGGCCTCTGCCTGGACCAGGCTTCCCGACCCGAAAAGACTTCCAAGGCCATGCTAACCCATCACTTCCCCCAGGGAGCCTGCCCTGCCCCTGAGGCTGGTGAAGGGCCACCTCTGGGCTTCCCTCTGTCACAGCTGGCCACACTCTGCTGTCATCAGTGGTTTGTACCTCTCTCTGTCTCCACATCAGCCTGGGGGCACCTGAGGACAGGTCCAGTCTGACTCATCCCAGTGTCCCCAGAGTGCCAGACTCTGGTCCTTTCCCTCCCGCCCCGATACCACCTCCTCCACGCAGGGAGGCTGCTCCTGGAGAGTGGCAGGAGCTTCCAGCCGGCGGCACCATCTGTCCCTGGAGGCACAGGACAGGAGAGGCACAAGGCAGAGGGGTCAGTTCCTCTGCTTAGCCAGGTCGGCCCAGGACATGGAGAAGAGTCATGGCACCAGGGCCCCCTCCCAGCTGTAGCTTGGGCCCAGACAAGACTTTGAATTCTCTAACCAGCTCGAAGTGGCTCAAGGCCAGAGCGTTCATTTTCTTATATGCAAAGCCAGACGCATACCCAGCAGCAGCGCTACCAGGAAGCTGAAGTACGCCTCACACCAGCAGGTACTCGACGAGTTAGTTTTTACCACCTCATCCAACCAACCGACCCTGTCTCTGAAACACTGAGGAAACAGAAGTCCAGATGAAATGAAAAGAGAAGGACCCATATCTACCATGGTCAATTGTGTGCCAAGCTCCGCACTCCTCCAAAGTCATTAAGCTTGCCTGTGATCTAGCAAGATCCACAGGAACAGCCCGGGATCACAGAGGAGGAAACTAAGGCCTACAGGGTCAAGTGAGTTAGTGTCTGTAAGGCAGGTCTCTAGACTCATGAGCAGCTGTGCAGAGGTGCTGGGGAGGCCGGCTTGGCCCAGCCGGGACCCAACACAGGTGAAGGGCAGGGGTGTAGCCTCCGCTAGCCCCCGGTATGTGCGAGGCAGGGGGCAGGTGATCGGCCCTGAATCTGCATTGTCAGGTGGGCTAGGAGGCTGTGATGGGGTGGGTCTGAGGGTGACAGTGAGACCACTCTCTGGATGTGCAGAGGTTCCCGATGTTTCCCTGGCCAGGACAGGCACTGGGAAAGGGGTCTCAGCCTGGCAGGTAAGGGTTCTAAGTCTCTCACCAGCTTACAAGCCCGGGCACATCATCTCACTTCTCCATGCCTCGTTTGTACCAGGGGCCTGAGCCTATCACCCACCTGCCTGTTGTGAGGGGTCAGGGAGTGGGTGGGAAGGTGGCCAGGACCTTCGTGGTGCTGGCCATACAAACGGGAACCATGATGATGTGTCTCCCTAGGTCTCTGAGCTTCTCTGAGCACAGTGTGCAGGGACTATGTACCTTGGCACTAAGCCTGGGGACCAGAGCATCCCCAAGTACCACACAGTCTGGTGGGCAGGACAATACAACCCCTAGCACTCCAAAGCCCAAACCCTGCCTGCAAGGCCCAGACCCCCAGCCTACTGCAGCCTTGTCTCAGGCCCTCCCACCTGCTCTGCCCTCACTCGATCCTGTCCAAGCCACACCGGCCTCCACTCAGTAGCTCAGAGGCACCAAGCCCCCCACGCCTTGGAGCCTGCCAATGAATGCTGTTCCTTCTGCCTGGAATACCCTTCCAGGCCTTCCTCTGGCTGTCTCCTTCTCAACTGCTAGGTTTCTGCTCAGTTGTCACTGGCTCAGAGAGCCCTCCCTTGACCTCTCCAGTTATTCTCTCACAGTCCCCTGTTCTCCTGCAATCTGAGGCTAATAGCTGTGTAACCTTGGGCAAGTTACTTAACCTCTGTATCTCAGGTCCATCTTCAACACGGGCATAGTAAGGTTATCTACTTCATAGCGTTATTATAAAGGCTAAATGAGTTAATGCATGCTTGGCACACAGGGAGCACTTACGTGGCATTTACTCTTATTGTTCTTACTGTTCGCGGGGCTTGGCACAGATTCGGATCCTATATTTACTCGACTACTTTCTCACTGTGTCTCCTTCATTAGCTGTCAGCTCCACACAACAGCCTGGGTTCATCACACAGTACTCAGTACCTGCCACAGGCTAATCCCTGGGCAGGGAAGAATTGAAATCAGTACAATATCCTGAGGAGACACCATTCATTCTGGGGGCAGGCAGGATGCAGATGGGAATGGGAAATGATGGCTGAGCTGGGTTTTGAAAGATGAAGAAGAGTCCTCCAGACAGACTACAAACACTAAGGGTGTCTGTCCATGGCTGAGACCAGGGTTCATATGGGGTTCCTGAACAGGCTGAAGCTAAGTGTCTGAGTCTTGCCTCTTCCTCCAGGAAGCCCTCTGGGACTACTTCAGCACCCTTCCGAGCTCCCCCAGTCACTCATTCATTCAGTAGTTTTTGCACTCATACTATATGATAGGCAGGTTGTTTTATTTGCTTGCTTTTCATTAAAAACAGCTTTGGTTACAACTCAGAAAACCATCCCAAACTGTCCCGTATCATTGGGGAACTAAGGGAATTCGGGAGGAAATGGGGGCATCCAAGGAGATCTACCATGCAGGCAATGGTCCATAGGTGGCAATCAAGGCTAGAGTGTTCTCAGCCGGCATGAGGTCACCCATGTCACCTCATGGGCCCAATTCCACCCCCACACCTACCCCCGCTCCCAGACTCAGGAGAGTGGGTGGGAGAGTGTAGGGAAGCAAAATGCGTTGTGGGCTCAGACTCGAAACATGTGGGCTGGAGTCTCACTTGGCTTTCGCAGGGCTGAGCCTCAGGTTCCCTAAGAGCTCAGACTTGGGAGCCAGATTGCCTGAGTTCAAATCCCAGCTCTGCCACTTCCTGCCAGTGTGATCCTGAGCCTGGGCAAGTCCTCAACCCCTCTGAGCCTCAGTTTCCTCATCTTGGATATGGGGATGATGACTTTACCTACCTCAGAGAGAACTGAACGAATTAATATATACAAAGCATTTGGTGCAGTGCGTAGCATGGTCAGCACTATATACAGATTTGCGACTACGATGTTGTTATCTCTGTAAAATGATGATAAGGATACATCCTTCCTCCACTGCCTTCTCCCCCAATTATTGATGGGGATCAATGGGAAAAAAATCATGAAAGGCACAGGAGAAGACACAGCCCCACCTGGAAAATGCTGTCTGCTCCAAGCTCAGGAGATGGGGGGCAAGAGGTCCTGCTGCTCAGATCCCACCCTCGGCCTCACTGAGAAGTTGCCTGTGCCCATGCATTCATTAGACACTGTCTGGAGCTCTGACCATGCCCAGCCCTCTGCTGGGCACACTGACAGCAGGCTTGTGGAACTCACTGGCTGGTGGGAGGGATGGACATGCAAGTGCACCACACAATCCAGTGTGAGAAGGAACTAACACAGAGGCTCCCTGTGCCCTGAGAAATCTGGGAAGGCTTTCTGGAGGAGTCCAGCATCTGAGCTGAGATCTGAAGGCTCAGAGGTAACTTTCCAGGAGGACCGGGGGGAGGCTAGGGGCCACCCGAGCAAAAAGCACAGTAGGGACCACAGCACAGAGGAGAGAACAAAGGTGGTATACTGAGGCAGTGGCAAGCGGTTCAGTATGGCTGAATCTATCGGGGTGGGGAAGGTGGAATGAGCAGGGAGAGGCAGGCCGAAGCAGATGACCAAGAGCCTTTTGTATCGGGTAAGGAACAGGAAGGCTATACTGAAGGCAGCCGGCTCAGCAGGTGCGGGATGATCACATTTACCTATTAGAAGCAACCCTCCAGTGGAAGGGGATGGGAGGGGCTGGATGTGGAATCGGGGAAGCAGGGAGAAGGTGCCCTGGACGGGGGAGGGCGCTGAGGTCTGAGTTGAGCGCTGGTCATGCAGATGGAGGGAGGGGATAGGTAAGAGATTTATTTGCCCCCGCCCCCTTTAAAAAGGCTTTTCCTGAGAACGGCCTCAGAGGACACCCACTCTGCGCCCAGCACAACCTCCGCCAGTCTGTCCTGCACCCTTCTCCCGTTCACCAGATCAAAGGCCCCCGCCAGGCGGTGATGAGCACTTGGCTCTGTCCCATGCGTCAACATCTAATCTCAGCTCCAAAGTCCCTGGTAAGACATTCCAGGGAAACGTGCACTGCAAGGCCACCTAGCAGGACACCTGTCCAAGAGCCCACGCCTGGTCCTGAGCTTGCTCTCTGAAAGAGGTCATTGTCCCCGAGCATCGCGGGCTGCCACAGCCTCCCTCACCCACTCAGACCCCCTCCCCACCCAGCCCTGTAACTTCTAGTGGCCTCCGGGCCTTGGAGCCCTGAACTCCAGCACGCCACAGAGGCACGGAGCGCAGACGTCCGGCAGAAGCACACACAGGACTCGGCTGGGAGAGACACACACCCCGGAATAGAATTCCAGACGCAGAGAACTTCCCCTCAGCACGGCCCCTGGGGCTTGTCTGGAGATTGTTACCTCTAATAAACCAGCCTAGGAGTTCTGCAGTTTCTCCTTCCAAGGAGAGCTAGAAAATGGCCCGTGGAAAATGAGAGCGAAGATGGAGAACTTCTGACTTAAAACGGAAACTTCAATTCTCTTTCAGGATCCCCAGCCTGCAGCCCCCTCCCCCGCCCACCGTTGGCCTCCAATCAGCCCCCCCGCCCCCGCCCACCCTGCATACCCTTCGCAGGTGATTTCCGACATTCTGGATCATTGCGGCCGAGACCCCACTAGCCGGTGGCACGGTCGGTGGCACCTTCTGAGAGAGACGCTGGTCACCTGAGCCACGGCCAGGCTCCGACTCCAAATGAAGCCGGTCAGCCTCTCCTCGCGCCCCTCCTCCCGAGCTCCCGCCCCTCCCGAGCCCAGCTGTTATCACCCAGCCCTGCCTCTCCTCACACTGCCCTCTGCCCCCCTCGCCCGGAGCACCCCCCTCCGAGGCTCCTGTGCCCGCCTGGCAGAGCGGAAGGAGAGCGGCTGCCAACTGGGCCCCGGCCACGTCAGGGGGCCCTGTGGCTGCCCACTGGGCACCTAGCGGGACACTCGCTTTACTTCCAGCCACAGCCAAACTTAGTCACCCCCACTTCCAGCCCCTGACATCCTGCTCACAGGGCCTCTTGGCTCCGGGGTCCCTCCCAAGGGCCGGGAGTCCCCACCGCACCCGCCCCAGCCAGTTAGACTGGCACACCGGTCACCAGGCTCCCATCCGTCCACAAGGGGTCAGGCTGGAGGTGGCAGGAAGCCAGGGAGCGTCCAGCAGCCTCCCAGAGAGACATCAGACCCACCTGCTAGGACTCTTCACCCTCAGGAGTGCTGCCCCCAAGAGCAGCCCAGTGTAGCTACTGGCCAGGGACAGGGCACACCCCCTCCTTCCTTAAAATAAGCAGTGTGACTTCTTAAAGTGACCTCTGCCAAATTCCACCTCATGAGCTCCACAGGCTTCAGCCCCTTGGGCACCCAGCCCAGGCCCTCTGTAGCCACCACCGACTGAGAGACCACCCAAATTTCTCCCTTGTCCCTCTCACTTCTGCAAGAGGCTTCACGAGGAGGCCTTGACACTGACACTTGGACTTTTCATGATGGGCCAATAAAATAAAGTCCTTAGTGGTTAAGAGAAGAAGGCAGGGGAGGGCCAGGCAGGGGAGCTGGGGTAGACAAATGGATCAGGAGTAATAATGAGCACCTCGTGATAACCGAGCACCTGCTGTGTCCAAGGCCTAGTGCTGTCCTCACTCCAACCCACCGGGAGGTCCCTTGGGGAGGGCACATGACATGGTCCTAGGTGGCACAGCTATTGAGTGCAGAGCCATGTTGGAACACAGGTCAGCCCAGTCTGAGGCCTCTGCCCTTCATTGCCTCGAGCTCACTCCCCACACACTTACTGATGTCTCCCCCTGGGCCTAAGACACCTGGACTCTGGGCCGAGTTCTCTCACTAATGTGCTGTGTGCCTCTGAACAAGTTCCCTCTTGTCTCCAAGCCTCCCTGCTCTAGGAGTCAAGGGCTCTCATGTCCATCCCTGTGAACTTAAGCCTTTCCCTCGAAAAGCTTAGGGGTCTGTCAGCAGTTCGGTATTAACGAATGAGAAATTAGAGTCACACTATAAAGACAGCAAGATGGTCCAAGGATGGCCCTGAGGGCTGGGGCAATCTAGGAGGCTTCCTGGAGGAGGTGGTGCTTTCTGGCCTGAACACTGACTGGGTCTGGATAGTCTGAAAAGAGGGGTGAGATGGAAGGCCTAACAGGAACAGAACAGGATCCTCATCTTGCAGAAAAAAAGCTGGGAATCTGTCGAGGAGGGCCTCGAATGCCAGGCAACTGGGCTGAGGTATCAGGAAGCCTCTAAGAATGAAGAACGTGTTCCACATGATAAAAGCCATGTGAAGTGAACAGGACAGAATCATGAGACCTCCCTGGACTGGTAAGAAAACCAGCCCAGAGAAGGGACAGCTCATCACACGGCATCCAAGCAGGGCAATTTCAGGGCCACATGGTACAGAGGGGGGGAATGAAACCCAGAGAGCTTCTGGTCCCCAGCCTACCCGCTCGCCAGTGGCCCACAATGTCTCAGACTCACTGGACTCAGTCTAGTTCCCCCTATCTTACGGAGGGGTACACTGAAGCCCAGGGATGACAAGTGAGCCACCCAAAGTCCATGAGGAAGTTGTCTAGAATCACTATTCCTAACCTCAAGCCTAGAGCCCAGTCCATCTCACCCCACAGCAAAGCACAAAGTAAGAGAGGCTTCAGTGAGACTTACAAGAGGACTCCCAGCAAGGTTGAATCAGTATACTGTCAGGAACAAGCCACAGAGAGCCAGACCTTTCTGCAGAGGGCTCTGCAGCCCACAAAGGTCTCTCTCCTCTCTGCTCTTTAGTACAGAACTGACTCGTGTCTCTTCGGCAGCTCTGTTCGGTCTGTGGCTCCAATGAACATTTCCATGGTATCTGCCTCCCCTTCTCGACCATCCTGGAAGCCCCGTGAGGGCTGACACCACATCTTACTCATCTCTGTGCCCTCTCCCCATCAGCCCCCAGACTAGGGCCCTAAACATGGGAAACACACCACACCCCTGGATGAGTCACAGTCCTGGAAAGGTGGGTAGAGAGGAGGTCTTAACTGAGAGTGAGGTCGGTGGTCCCCAAACTTCAGCCTGCATCAGAATCACGCAGAGGGCGTTTTAAAATTCAGACTGCTGAAAGCAAAAGCTCCCAGAGAGCCCAAGAATCTGCATTTCTGATAAGATCCCAAGGGATGCTGATGCTGCTGGTCCAGGGACCGTACTGTGGGAGCCAATGAGCTGGAGACACAGGTGGGGAGAATGAGACCCAGAGACTGTTGAGGTGGCTCGTGACCGTCCATCCCTCTCATGGCCACCGTCACTGTCGTTGTAGCTTTTTGGGCACGCCCAGCCCTGTGCAAGCACCTCAGTTCCGGTACCACATTTGGGCCTCATCCTAGGAGGAAGATACTACCATTATCATTCTCCTACAGAGGAAAACTGGAGGCAGAGTCATTTGTCCAAAGTCATGCAGTTGATAAGAGTTAGCATAAGGATTTGAACCCCGATTGAAGTCCAGAGCCCACGGGCGTAACCAGCACTCTCCGTAGCCTCTTACAGCTTATGCAGACCAAGGACTTCTCTAGGAGTGCCCGAACCCCATAGGCTTATGTAACCCAAAGGCCTGGTCCCCAAGTGCGCCTCTGGGGAGTCCTGTGAATCAAGAAAGCCTACCTCTTAGGCCCCGGACCCTGAGTATTCTCTCCCACAAGCACTTTGTTTCCCCTCGTGACGTCCTTCATCCGGCCCCACAGATGGGGCCCTCCTGGCTGGAAGACACATGTCTGCATTCATTCTTCAGGCCCATGTCCCAGCTCTACTGCCCCACTCAGTGACAAAACACAGCGAAGTAACCTCCATTTGTATGCCACAGTGATACTAGGTTGTCACTGTCTGGCATGGTCTGTCTCCCCCATCAGACTGAGTCCTCAGCATGGGGTCTGCCCAGAACAAGGGTTTAGTGACTGAATGATAGGAAGGAGGGAAGGAAGGAAGGAAGGAAGGAAGGAAGGGAGGAAAGGAGGGAGGAAGTGGCATAGGGTCAAATGAGGAAATGAATGAGTGAATACAAAACCAAACTCCCAGGAATTCCCTCTGCTGGGCCTTTTAGCCTTTCCAGATAGGACCCCAAACTCTGGGTAGGAAGGGACCTCTGATGTCATCCACTCCAACTCCCACCTTCAGAACTGCCCTAGCTGAACCCCTCCATGGGTCAGAACCTATAACTCTCCCCTGCTCCACTCACACACACACACCCCTACTATCCCAGCCTCCACTTACATACCTCCAAGATTGAAGGGCTCACTCCATCTAAGGCTGACTGAACAATTAAAGAGCTCTAATAGCCACAAGGGTCTTGCCATTACCCCATGACCGTGGCTCTGGGTCACCCAGAACAAGGCTGCTCCCCTGGCCTGTGACAGAAGGCAGACAGATGGGAGCCCATGTCCTGTCCTCTGCCCCATCCAGACTCATTTCTTCTAATTGTCTCCAGCCATGAACAGAGCTCCCAACTGTTCCCTCACACACCTGGGGGTCCCTCTGTTCCTGCTGTTCCCTCTGTCCTGATGCCCTCTGAGAGCTCTACATCCCAACCCTGTCCCCCATCCAGGCCTGGCTCAAACGGCACCACCTCCAGGAAGTCTTCTGTGCCCCTCCTAAGTGGGACTTCCATCCTGCTCCTCAGTCCCCTCTGTTCCCCCCCCACCACTTCCCCCACACACACTTCACAGCCCTTCATTTCTCTCTCACACTGTTTTTTCTCTTAAATTGGGCTGATTTGTGCTAATTTCCCCTTCTTGACCTTGAACGGTTGCTGCAGGGATGGAGTTGATTCATCAGAGTATCCTGCCCCCACTCCCACCAAACACTCAGGGTCTTGAACATAGTAGATGCTCAGTAAGTGTCCCGAGAATGAATGAAGGAGTAATTGAAGGGGAAAGAGTGAATGAATGGAAGCAAATACATGTGTACATGATCAAATGAATGAATGAATCATCTTCTCCTGTTCTCCAAGCTAAAGACTCCAGTTCCTTCTGGGGGCCCCTTGGCCTCAGCATGGCAGAATACAGGAAGTTGTGGGATAAATGGGGAGGCGGACAGGAGGGAGACAGCAAGACAGGAAGTGGAGGTGACAACATTGCTCCAAGGCCAGGCCCCTCTCAGAACCACAGCCCTTTACAGAGAAGCTGGGCAAGGAAAGCAGTGGGTGGAGATGGGGAGGTGGGGGTGCCAACAAGCCCCGGAGGCCAGACGTGGGATGCATGAGCAGAACACTGGACCTGCCCAGCCAATCCTAAACTCCATCCTGCCTAGCAGGCTCCAACATGACCTGCCTGCTCCTCTCTCACCACCTGCATCTGTCGGCGCCAGAACCAACTCCTGGGCCCAGCTGCTGCGGGTCAGGACCCAGCCTCACTTCCTGGACTGGACCCTTGCAGGGAGGTTGCCCTCACAAGGGCTAGTGCTCCCCCACCCACCCCATGTCCCAGTGAGTCACACTGGCTGCACCCTCTGGACTCTGAGGCTTGGGTCCACAGGTCCTGACCCGGTGCCAGCCTCCCCCATCCTACTGAGAGGCGGGCCCATCTCAGCTCAAACCCCAGGATGCTTTATGCCTCAGCCTGCCCAAGCAAGAGGGCACCAGGCACCAGGCGGCTTGTCTGGCGCCCAGTCCGGGGGGGGATAGAGGCAGCTCTGCCTAAAGAGAGTGCTGGGGCTGACGAGGAGCCAGGGGCACGAGGGTCCCAGAGAGTGCGGTTC